TATTTACCAGTACAAATTTTCACATGAAAAAAATCTTGCCAAAAATAAATGTCACACAGCAAATATTGGATTTGATTGGATACAGCTACTAAGGATGGACAGGGTCACAAAATGCTATGACCTCCCTAATTTTGACAGTTGGCAGCAGCAAATGGAAACTTCCTGTTGTAAAAGGATAAAAAATGATTTAGGATGATAAGCCTCCAAGTCTGTGAGTAAGTTAAGGAGCCCCTCTGACAACACAAAAACAGGCTGCTTAAAAAATAATAACTTCTGGTCAAAAGATTTCAACATTTTTCTCTACATTTTCTACTCAGAATTTCATTTGCTTTTGGTTAAAAATAAGGAAAGGATGCATCAATTCTGAGTTCTACCATCTTCTTAGAGATTGCCTTAATAATTCTAAGAATGTTTTAGAATTCTTTTATACAAAATCATTTTAGTATGTTTGCATGCATAAAACAAGTGCAAGTCAAAACGCGCAGGTTCAAACAAATTCAATCGAATACCTTGTTCCAATTTATTTTCCATATTGCTATTGCATGTTGTCACAGTAGAATCATTAGGGTTGGAAAAGACCACGAAGACCATCGTGTCCAACCACCAACCCATCTCCACCATGTCCATTAACCCATGTCCCTCAGTGCCGTATCTACACGGCTCTTGAACACCTCCAGGGATATCGACTTCACCACCTCCCAGGGCAGCCTGCTCCAATGCCTCACCTTTCTTCCACTCTTTCTGAAAAGAAGTTCTTCCTAATACCCAACCTGAATCTCCCCTGGTGCAGCTTGAGGTCATTCCCTCTTGTGCTACTGCTATTACCTGGGAGGAGAGGCTGACACCACCTCACCACAAACTCCTTTAAGATAACTGTGGAGAGCAGTATGACCGGGGGGATTTGCCATCTTCTTCCTTCTTGGTTTCCTCCTTATTGAATCAGAAGAAATCCATGGAGAGGGAGATTTCTCATGCAGCAACTGCCTCCACCAAGTCAAAGCCCATCTCCTTGCACTGCTGGGATGGAGTATCCAGCCAGCAAGGCCAGCAGTCATCACAAACAGTAAACATTCTCCAGCAACATAAACCCTCAAAGAACTAGACTGATTTGGTCAGCATCTGTGAACCCAGTGCAGATGTAATGGGATGGACCATAGCAGCCTTTCTGCAACTTGCTCCAAGCTCTGCCCCCTCATCACCTCCCGGCTGTGGGGACTGACCCTTTGTCCCCTGCCATTAGCTGGGGCTGGCCCAGGCCCCCCAGCAAGGCCTCCCACTGAGCAAACAGAGACCCAGGAAGGCTGGGCCAAGAGCAGCCGCTCCTCCTGATGAAGATAAATGGTGTGGCATAGATCAGCAGACTATCTGGTGCGTCCATCACCTGCCACTCGATTAGCCATAATGAGCTCTGGATGAGCCTGCACGGAGGAGTTGTGCTGTTAATTCGTTGGGCTGCTCAGGCCTAAAGACCACAGAGGAGGCAGCAGAAGCACAGTTGAGCATACCTAGCAAATCCACGGAGATAGCAGCCATTAATTAACTCTGTGTGTTTATTTGGAAGGACAGCCATGCAGGAGATGAGATTTAGCCCCTGGAATCCAGTACATTTGGTTTTGCACCTCATCCTCCCAAGCAGCATTTCTTAGGGATTTCAGAGTAATTTCTGGAACAACTGTCATTATTTCTGCATTTGCCTTTCAGCCTTGCCCCCCACTTTTTGGTACACAGTATGACTTGCCTCTCTGCTGTGAGCTTGCTGTATATTCAGCACAGATTTCCAGCCTGGCACTGCAGTAGGACCCCACAGTAGTCCTGAGATACTTTCTGGAGCAACACAGCAACAACTGCCAACCACAAGCCGTGCTCAGACCAGACCAGCACAAGTGTGTCTCAGAGAGCTGGCAGTAAGGGTGGGAGAATTCAAGCCCAGGGAAATTCCAGCACACAGATACACAAGAGAGAGCACACAGGTCTGAATGTATCTGGCATGCAGTCTGCAAAGGCGAGCTTATCTCTTGCATTTTATAATGAGAAGGTGATGGGCCAGATCTCCAAAGGTATTTAGGTGCTTCGACATTTAACCTCCCACTGATTTCAGTGGGAGGCCCACAAGGAAATTAAGCATCTAATTATTCTTGGAGGTCTGGCCCTAGAGCTCTGCTTTCCCAAGTTGTTTATCTCTCCTTCATTTATTGCTGCCCATGAAGCCACCTCAGTAGGGCCAGTTAGCGCTGAGAGACCCTGACCCCAGTCTCTTGACCCACCTTCAGCTCAAAGATGTTTGTACACAGCCACATTCATTCCTCACCCACAGTGGTACACACTCAGCTGTGGGTACAGGAGAAAGGAACAGGGGCCACAGAACAATGGCATAGGAAAAGGGTAAAGTGCCATTACAGTAAAAGGGGCTTGTCTTTAGCATGAGCTTGCCCACAGTAAACAGGTATAAATGCTGGAGGAACATCATGTTCACATCCCTTCTTCACAAAGCATCTTTGGCAATGTTGATGGCAGAAAGTTGCAGCCCTAATCATGCAGTTATCAGAGTCCTCACAGGGTAGGGAGAAGCAGAAGGCAGAAAATTTCTCTAAGCAGCTGGAAAAGTCATACAAACATGAGCAGATGCCAGAAGGCATCTTCTACCCCTGGTTACTTTCACTGAAGGACCACATATAAACTCTAACCCAGGACCAATGAGGCATGTGACATCAGAAGTGAAAACATCTCCTCTCCCTCCTTAACACCACAGAATCATAGAATTGTTTGAGTTGGAAGAAATCCATTAAGGTGTCCATCTGGTCCAACTCCACTGCAGCGAACAAGGACACCTACAGCTAGAGTAGATTGCTCAGAGCCCTGTCCAGTCTGACCTTGAATGTCTCCAGGGACAGAGCATCCACCTCCTCTCTGGACGACCTGTGTCAGTGCCTCACCACTCTGACTGTAAAAAATTTCTTCCTTATAATCAATCTGAATTTCCCCTCCTTTTATTTGAAACCATTTCCCCTTGTCCTATCACAACAGACCCTGCTAAAGAGTCTGTCCCCTTCTTTCTTACAGCCCCCTCCTTTGGATATTGAAAGGCTGCTATCAGGTCTCCCTGGAGCCTTCTCTTCTACAGGCTGAACAGCCCCAGCTCTCTCAGCCTGTCCTCATAAGGGAGATTTTCCATCCGTTGGATCATTTTTATGGCCCTCCTCTTTCCCAGTTACAACTTATGTCATGGAAGCACTCCTCCACTGAGTAATCATCACTGGTTAATTTGACTGGTGATCTGGTAGCCCCTTGACTCGTTCAAAGACATTATGGCCATCCCCCTGTTTTTAAGGCTGTGGTGGCTCTGGTTGCTCCCATCACGCCTCCACAAGTGGGTGGTGAACCTCCCAGGCTGAACATGGCTAGCACAGGAAGAAAAGAGAATTTTCCCTCAAGGAGTGTTGACCACCCTCTTGTAGGGTTGTAGAGAAATCCCCCACACCACGCAGGAATGTGCCTCAAATCACTGCCAAGTTCTTCACAACTGCTTTGAAACAAGTAAAGTCTGGCAGCAGATTTTGATAGTGGGCCCTATGTGGTGTATCAGCATCTGTGATCTCAGAGACAGTCACACTAAGGGACAGGCTAGACTGAAAAATATCAAAGCTTTTCCTACAGCAGAGTTTGCAGCTGAGGTCCATTGCTGATTGTGTCACTGGTCCCTACAGCTGGATGCTTTCCTGCTTCCAGCAATGGCCAAGAACTGTTCGTGTCTACCAAAATTATATCCCAGAACATTAGAGAATAAATTCACTTCTTGTGAAATAGAGGTCAGTAGAGTTACACCAGGGAGGAATTTGGATGGAGATACCTGGACTTTTATACTATATTTTAAATAGTAAAAATATTTTCGGTGGACAGGGAACTGTAAGAGGCTTATAAATGCAAAAGGAAAAAAAAAAAAAAAGAAAGAAAGAAACGGTGCTGCTCCCCCGCAGCCTCCTAAAAATAGCAAATTACACACCTAATAAATGTATCAGCAGCCCATGAAATTGACAGCCTGAAATTGAAGAACAGAACCATTTTGTTTGGAGAAATAGTCTTTAAGAGTGTGGAGGTGAATTAGAAAAATAGCAACTGACATTAAGAGTGTAAGATTAATTTGCCCGAGCTTTAATTGAGACAGCCTGAATGAGCCAGGAAAAGAGAAAAAGAGAGGGAGAGGATCCCAGCTCTGTCTGGCTCCATAGAAACTCCACCTACTATGTCCTTTCAGCTGGAGCTCGAGTTACAGCATTACATCATCCCCAAAACGTCCCTTTGGCTGATAATTCCCTGGGAGCCGGACACAGATGCTGCGGCCGCCGGGTGCAGATGCACCCTTTTTGGTTCACCGGTGTGGGGACAGGCTGAGGGCCACATTTGAAGACCCTACAGAACCCTGCTGGGAGGCTGGGGACAGCTCTGGGGGTGATGTCCCCATCATCCTGGGCCACCAGAAGCCATCCCTGCTGCAGCTCTGCCCTCACTGCCGGCGGTGGGTGGAAGATGTTATTTATGTTTCAGAGCAGACCCGTGTAATCTGCAAACCCTGAAATCCCAAAGCCTGTAAAAGCATTAAGCAGGCCATCCTGACCGTGAGCCTTGCTCAAGTTTCCTGACTGAAACAAGAAAGTCCTTCTCGTAAGCAAAAAATAAGCTCTTGCACAGGCAATATTTCAAAAGCCTTGCTACTACTAAGTAAATAAATGTGCGTAGCAGATACAATAAACATTTTCTTCTGTTCTGAAATCAGATCTGCAGATCCCAAATCCCCCTGTGCTGTGCAGACTGTAATTACAGGATATGTTAAATTTTCTTTATAGCCAGCCCTGATGGTTGTTAAGTGACCGCACCGCCCAGTACAGCACCCCTCTCTGGTCTGCTACCATTCATAATGAAAACCAGATGTTTGTTTAAAGTTAATAATCAATACAGCACTCATCCCAAGTCAAGTAGGGCTAAACATTTGCTTAGAAAAGCCATGTCAGAGCTGCGATAAGCAGGGGCTCATTGCGGCACGCTGCTTTGGACCCTGCTGGGGCATGAGATAAACCATGCAAATTCCAGAGAGTGGGTGCTGATGGGGAGGGGGGGGGGAGGTTGGGCTGAGCCTCTCTGAAGAGCCAGAGCAAGGAAAATACGTGCAGATCCTTCCAGAGAGCCCCAGTACCCCTGCTCCCAGCTTGTGTGCTCCTGGAAGCCAGAGGCACCACCACTCAGCCTGGCTCCACATTCCCTTGCAGTGTGCATGTCCCAAGCAGGAGAGCTCAGCACCACAACAGGCCCTCCTCCAATCCAGGCATCCCCCAAGAGGAGGCAAGTCCACTGTTCCTTTGCTCATGTGCTTGGGCATGGCATCTTCAGGAAGGCTTGTGGTCTTCCTGAACCATAGGATAATAACAGAGTTTGCAACACCTATCAAATGAGAAGAAATTGCACCTTAGGTGCAATTGTACTTGTACTTAGGTGTCCAAAAAGAATAAGGATATATGCAGAGAGGGGAGTACTGAGCATCTGGAGGCCACACTGGTGAGAGATGTTGAGCACTCCCAAATCACTGCAAAGGCAACAAGAGCTGATAAAGAAGAGGGTACTCAGCAGCACATTGTTGTCTACTGAAGTCAAGGCAAAAAATTTTCGTTCAAAATCCTGGGTTAGAAAGCAAATTGTCTACCTTACTGCTGGGCTGGGCAGTGAGATAGATAAATTGGTAGATGAGCTTCTCAAGTGGTGCACAGCTTCTCACAGCTCTGTATGGGAACTGCTGAGTCACGGCCTGAACCTCTGATTGATCACCTGAGGCGAGCCATGAGTCAGCCAGAGGAGCACAGGTGAAGGCAATTCACCTGTGCTGCAGGAAGGGGTGGAGCCAGGCTCCAGCTCTCCTAGACCTACTTAAGAGCTGGCTGCCAGCAGAGAAGGATCTCATCTGGAGATTGCCTCTGCTGGAGTTTTGTGAGTGAGCCCAGAATGGAGGTAAGCTTTCTATTTATTCTCTTTTTGTTATCATTATCTGCTTTGTCTAACTCTGTTTATTTTGTAATTATAACATCCTAATATTCATTGATTATACAAGCTCACTGTGTTTGTGACAAGCTCACTGTGTTCGTGCCTTCACTTCATCACAGGGATGGAGGGGCACTGGGGATGCTGGAGGAAACCTCCAGATAGAGGTGGCCAATCTGCCCTGCCTAGATTTTTCTTAAATGTCTCAAAGGTGTCCCAGTCCAAAAACTATCTGAAATTAATATAGAGAGAGTGATTCACTGTGTCTCCAACACTATTCATCTTTCATGGACAACTGGGTGGGAAAATCCTTCAAGCTTCCTCAATATTTTAAAGTGGGCTGTGTTATTTTTCTTTGCTATTTGTTGCCCAGTGGGCTCCTTGCTGGATGACCTTTGTTACCCATTCCAAGAGCAAGAATGAGGCAAAATGGCTCACTTGGCTGGTCAGCACCCGTTCCCACCTCTACTTCCAACCCTTGCACACAGAGGCTGGACCCTGTCATTTGAGCTTAACCGCAATATCCACCACACCTATTTTCTGTATGGAAAATCACGACTGGATAAGGGAGCCTGAGAGAGTCCTGAGACCTTGTATGTTTCCTGATGGTGAAAGAAGGGAGTCTTTGACTTTGCATGTTTCTTTCTGACACTTTTTAGCAGCAGAAGCTGAAAGTTTGCCTATAGCATAATCCAGAGACATCATGGCTCACAGATCTTGGCATAAATTGAACTTTCGCTTTACATTCTAGTCTCTTACTAGGAAAACTAACAAAAGAGCTGAGGAGAAGAAATGATGAAATGTATGTGAGTCACAGTCTCATACAAATTTTGGTTAGAAGGGACCTCTAGAGGTCGTCTAGTCTGACTTCTCTTTTGAAGCAAGACTATCACCAATAACATTTTTCCGAAGCTGTATTTCGGGGTTTGGACTGTGTGATTGTTCTATCCTCTCTTTTTTGTTTCCTGTGAGTTTTGTGTTTGCAGAGTTTCAAAAACTGAATTTAGTTGTATGTAAATATTGTTCCCTTAATTCATCTTAATTCACATGATTAGGCCAAACAGTTTCCATGGAAATATTTGTACAGAGAAAGTGGGCAAGCACTAAAATCCTTCCAGGCTTTTCTAAACTAAATAAAAGGCCTTTCTCCCCTAAGCAGGACAGCTACTTAACTGCCGTCCCCACTGTCTCTGGCCGTAAGTCCTGCAGAACACGGGCTGAGATCCAGGAAAGAACAAGAGAACTGCAATTCCTAAGGTGCAGGGCAACTTCCCGGTTTAATATTTTATTGTTCAAGTGCAAAAAGGGAGACATGCACAGTCAGAAACACCCTTATGCCAGTTCTACTTGTGTGCTGTGCTGAGTTGTTAACTTCCCTTCTTCCTCAGCACAGAAATCCCCAAGTTAAAGTACTCATTTAGAGTTACCCAGAAAAGCTGAAGATAGATTTGGATCCTGTTGAAAGCTGCTGTTTTGTAACAAGCCAGAACCAACCCTCTTGGCTTAAAAAAAAAAAACCTCCATTCCACTTAAAACAGGTTCAGTAAATGATCTGTGACCAAAAACAAAACCAAGTACTAAAAGCTGGATAAAACTGCCCGTCTCACCTCCAAATTAAATGAATCTGACCTGCACACCAAAGCATTCCTAGAGCTCCGCAGCTCGTGAAAGTATCAAAAAAGGCATTCTATTAGAAAGCAGTCCATTTGAAATCATGTTAATGGTGTGTTTTTTTCTGAAGTGGATTCATCTACATTCCCAGATCACCCCACACCCGTGGAGTTACTGTATCCTCCCCATCCCCCATATCGTAGAATCATAAAGTCATTTGAGTTGGAAGAGACCTGTAAAGGCCGTCTGGTCCAATCCACTGCAATGAACAGGGACACCTAGAGCAGATCAGGTGCTCAGAGCCTTGTCCAGCCTGGCTTTAAATGTCTCCAGGGATGGGGCATTTACCACCACTCTGGATACCAACATAATAGCATAGGTTTAGGAAATGCCACCAGGAAAGCCTTGGCCTTCGAAGTTCCCCAGGCTGGGTAGCTCCAGGCTCAGTGCTGCACAGTCCCAGCCTTTTCCATGTGTTGTATATGGTGCCTAAAATCTGGGCTTCGCTATGCCGAATTCCCAAGCATTGCCTCCAGAAGTCAAGCCAGCCACACGTAATTATTTCAGAATAACAACCCAGTGGCAAAAAAGAAAAAAAAACACAACACCTTTCCTAGGGACTAAAATGCTCAGGCCTGGTTGAGCATGGTGCTCCAACCTCTTAGGGAAAAGGCAAGGATTACTCTGGTCACCAGTGCAGCTGGAACCAGCAGTGTGTGCTTGTCTAAAATCCTTTTCCTTGGAAGAGATGCTGGGTTTTTTTTTCTTTTTAATTTATACTGCTTTTTCTTTTTCCTGACACTACAAGTGATCCTGTTCTTCACTCTCTGCTGTCTTGGCACCTTCCAAGAAAATCTGACACTGAGAAATAGGTCCTACTTTTTTTTTTTTTTTTTTTTTTTTTTTTCAAGTAATAAATGGAAATACATATTTGCTGCAGCCTTCCAATCTGCACAGGCGACATTGTCAAAATGCTCTGAACTTTTTTTGGAAGCAGCAGATGACTACAGCTGGTTAGCACAATTATAGCCGTTGTGTAATGCTTGGATCCTCTGTTGTTTCATTCATTCTATTCATCAAATTCTGCATTATGCTGTGGGAGAAGATCTGCCTGATGGTAAATTTACATTTTTTCCTATGTTGCTGTTATTTTTCATAGTTAAAGGGACACTGGCAAGTGACACATCACTTTTTTTTTTTATGTCATTTCAAAAGCTGTTTATGCTGTAATTTACAATATCCTCTTAGAAGCCAGAAGAATGGAGAGCTTGAGCAATGTGGCATTTCCTCACTCTTGTACAGTGATTTTTTTTCTCACTGTGGTCTGCAGGAAGCTCAGACACTTTCTGCTTTGAGTGGTTCACAAGTGGACTTAAGGACAGAGACCACTAATTTTCACCAGAGGTAGGTAGATATGATCTGGAAATTGTCCCCATTTTTACAGGCTGAAGGCAAGTGGACCTTGCAGGATTGGGACTCAAAGTAGCATTGAGTTTAATACGGATCAAAGGACTCCAGCCTTGCTGTTGCTAGGGAAGGACAACCAGGTTGGCTCCAGTGGATTTAGTAGCCCATGAGGCATCTCAATCCTATCAGTATGATGCCAGGGTTTGTATGCCTGGTCAGGTACTTTCCTGGCTCTTCCTTCAACATTTCTTATAAAGCATACAGTGTAATCTATGTTGTATCATCAGAGGATCACAATAACAAAATGGTCATCAAAGTTGTTATTAATTTTTGATTGAAGATGTTCTGTGAAGCCATCACTATTTAGAGATTCCCCTTCGTTTTCCAGGTAGAAAATCAAAACCTGTTCAGCTTTAGAAAACAATTTTTTTCTTTCCTTCCTCAAAATGCACATTTTTTTGAAACCTCTGCAGCATACCGACTTTCTGTATCTAAATGTTTCCTGTGTTAAAGTGGAAAAATGCATGAAAAATACTAAAATTCTAGAAGGATTATGAGAAAAATAATTTAAAAGAAAAAAATGGGATGGCACTGGAGGAAGAAAAAGGGAAGGAATATATTTTACAGATGGTGTTCCTTATTTTTTCTTCCTCTTTTTGGTATTTTTATATCAAAAATGAACAAGTGAACCAAAAGTAAGATAGAAGCGTTAGAGTTTTTGTAGCTCTCCTCCATGTGACTTTCTTTTATTACTCCTTTTCTGTCCTTTCTTGCCATTGTTCAGTCTGTGTGCTTATAATTCATCTGAGTAATTAACTTAGCGAGCGCAGTAGAATTGCATTAGGCTGGGGTAGAAAGTGCCTTTAACGAGCACCAGGATTTTCGCATGACCCAGTGGAGGGAAGAAGATCGGTGTCACTCAGAATGGGCCCCAGGACATCAGCAGGAGAACAGCAAGGCTCAGGTGGACCCTTAACCCAGGATCCACCTTGCTGTTCCACACAGAGTGGTCATCTCCCACGGTGACAAATAGACGCCAACAGCATTCCCGGGTTCCCATGTAATAAAGATTATTTATGCACCATGGCTGCTAAGTGCTACTAAACACAAAAACAAATGACACTGTATTCTCAGACCACTAAATTTGTCTCTCCACTGTACACAGCCTTTGCTTTCCCTTTGGCTGCCTTTTTGCTAGCTGTAAATTGCATAATTCATTCTCTTGGTTGTTTTATAGTTCTGCGGTGAAATTCAGATTCATCATCATTAAATATTGTTATCACTGTTTATACAATGATGCAAGCTGTCTGAAATGCGTCTCAGACTCAATACTGACATCCAACCTCAGGAGAAGAAGGGATTCTACAGAACGACACAGATCACTGCCTAAAAGTAAGTGTGGTGAAATTGGAGAAAATTGTTGTAATCCTGAAAGTTGAGAGGGAAAGTCGTATTGTGTTTAGTCCTGGTTCTTACAAAAAATGGAGCAATGCATAGTGAATCAAGAAATGGTCTGTTTATGGCCTTTAATATTACCAGTTAGGAAAAATCACTTCTTTCACTTGAAACACAAGGAAACTGAAGATGCTATAGAAGGCATTCTATGGGGCCCAATGAGATGCACTCCAGGATCCTGAAAGAGCAGGCTGCCAAGCCCCTCTCAAAAGTGAAAGCTGCCAGGTGAAATGCCCTGTGACTGTAAAAAGGAAAATATCATTCCCATTTTTAAGAAGTGTAGAAATAGAGACGCTGGGAACTGTAGGCCAGTGAGTCTCACCTCCATGCCTGGGAAGGTAATGGAATGGATCTTCCTGCAAGTTATGTTAAGTCATATGAGGCATGTGGCAGATAAATAGATGACTGGCAACAGTCAGC